TATTTTTAGTAAGATTCTCATCTAATATGGGACGGAGAGAGTATTAGTTTTTGAAAATGGAAAAGGACAAAACACATATAAAATTAAAAGACATATAAAAAAAGTTGGTTTAACTCTCAAACATAAAAAGTAACATATGTTATTAAAAACTTTAATAAAAAGTACTATAATTTACAATAAATAATAACTTAAAATATCTACAAGACAACAAAAAAAAGACTAATTTTTGTACTGCTTGTGTCACATATATTAGGATTGGGATGATTTTAAAATTTTAATTTTGGTTATACATTATAAAATAGCCGAAAAATTGAATGATATATTTTTTTTAAATAACCGAATGAATCGTCCTATCGATAACCCTAATGTTACTTCTACTCTGTTTATTTTTACTTAAATTTAGAAAGATATGCTTCATTTCTACCCTCAATCTTATTGCTACATTTATTTGCTATTTAAAATTGAAATTAAAAAGACAAATGACAAATAAGTTTCTATATTAGCTCACTTATGAGCAAAATATATTACAACAATCTTTACTATTTTTATAACAATACATAAACTATACTCCCTCCGTCCCATATTAGATGGGCACTTCCAACTTTACACGGTGATTAAGAAATCATTAATACATTGGAAGACTTCACCATTTTGCCCTTTCTTTATATCAATACACATTGAAATGAGTTACAAAAAATACACATACAATATAGGAATGGTTATATTAATTGTAGGGGTAAAATGAAAAAGAATTAATTAATTCTATCCTAATTTAATAAGTGCTCAAATAATATGGAAAAAAAAATTTAGTAAGATTCTCATCTAATATGGGACGGAGAGAATAACAATATAACTTTATTAATGTAGGGCCCGGGCAGCGCCCGGGCTTTCGTTACTAGTATATATATATATGCAGAAAGGAAAATCAACGAAGCTACATGGTAATTACTCGTATCATTTGCTCTAACTAACTTTTATATTTTTTAATATTTAATACTCTGAATATTTCATTCAGTCACCATCCAACTTGGTGATGTCAATATCAACCTTTGACAAGTAGTAGTATTTTTTAAGGATACTCTTTTTAGTTACAAACCCAATACCATAAATAAACAAGCAAATCACTTATTCTTCCTGAATTTTTAATTAACAAACACATTTGGGAATTGTCCATAATTAACAACTTGTTTTTTTTTTTTTTTTTCAACAATAACAGCTTGTAAAGATGATGGTTTGCTTTCATTAAAAAAGGCAGCTAAAAAGGAACCATTAGTGAAATTTTAATACATTAGTTTGTTAATTGTGCTTTTACAATCACCTTTTGTCTTCGCTTTTTAATGCTAATCCACTGGATCTTTGGCGTCGATAACATTGCTTCTTTACCTAAAATAATTTAACAAATATGTGAGTTGTATCAGATACAAAATGTAAATTTTGTTCCGTTAATTTTACAAATAAATTAATTTTTATCTTCCGTTTGGACATGTGAATAACACATGCTATTTAAGAATAATTCTGCCCGGCCAAACCCAATTTTTTTTAAAAAAATACTCCCTCTGTCCCTAATTACTTGTCCACTTTTGAATTGACACACCAATTAAGAAAACAATTAATTAAATAGTGAGTTTACCATTTTATCCCTATTAATTATGAAGTGGTTGAAAAATTCTACATTTTTCAAAGTAATTAATCATTTAATTGAGGATATAATAGGTAAAAAAATTATCCTTTCTTAATTTGTTAAAATGGATAAGTAATTAAGAATAACTATAAAAGAAAAAATGAATAAGTAATTAAGGACAGAAAGAGTAATAATCATGTAAATAGATAGTGAAAAACAGAAAATTAAAAAAGGAAAGAGATATAAACATTTTAACATGCCACCTAACAAGGAAAAAAGCCGCTTACCGAATTTAAACATAACCAGCATGGAAGTCAGTCAAACGACACTAACCCACGTTTCTTACTTGGCATCACTTTAACCATCTCCTCGAGATCCTCGCCCTCCGTGAAACTATCTCCGAATCCCACTCCCGTCGCCGGAAAACCGCTGCTGCTCCGCCCGAAACCGTAGTAGAAGTATAATTCCCGGCTGATTTATAAAATTATAGAAAAGATCGCTGTCGAAATGAGTAACGGGGAGCTACTTCAAATCCACCCAGTAGAACTTCAATTTCCATGTAACGTCTCTCTGTTAGAAACTTCTACAACATTTTCTACCTTATTTGAACTTTTCAGATCCGTGTATTGTTCCCTTTGTTTTGATTTGGTGTTTTTTTTGTGATGTTAAAAATAGTCGAATTGAAGAAGCAGATCTCAAGTTCCTTGCAATTGAGCAACAAATCAGATGACTATGTAGCCTTCAAGGTATCATGGAAATACACTGCAATTACTTTTTTTTTTTTTTTGAGATTACAATTTTGTTTTATGTTTTTGGAACTTTTTGGATTTCAGGTGAAGACGACGAATCCAAAGAAGTACTGTGTAAGGCCCAATACTGGAATTGTGATGCCTCGCTCTACCTGTGAAGTCATAGGTCTTTCTCTCTCACACTCTTTTCGTTTATACACTGCAATTATTTTTTTTTTTTTTTTGAGATTACAATTTTGTTTTATGTTTTTGGAACTTTTTGGATTTCAGGTGAAGACGACGAATCCAAAGAAGTACTGTGTAAGGCCCAATACTGGAATTGTGATGCCTCGCTCTACCTGTGAAGTCATAGGTCTTTCTCTCTCACACTCTTTTCGTTTAATAAGTATACTCTGTTTGATTTGTTCAGTTTGCTAAATTATCTTTTTAGTTTTTTATAGTTAGTACTCCCTCCGTTTACTTTTATTTACTATTCTATGCACCCGATTGACCATGAGAATTATTCACTGATGCACTTATTTAAAAATTAGTGTTTGTTCGTCATTGTATTATGCAATTTGAAAAAACATCCAAAATCCTGCGTTCACTTTTTTCCATTTTCACTATATTACTTTTTATCAAATTTACCCTTAAATTTGTTATTTTATAAACTACACTTTATGTTTAAATCATAGTTTTAGTAAAATTTCATTCAAGCAACCAAATATTATTTGTAAAACTATAACCAAACACAACTACAGTTTCAAAATTTCAAATAAAATGAAAAAATACTTGTAATAGTATGTAGTAGCTCGCATATCTATGACATTATTTGACTATCTATTTTGAGATATTACTCTTTTAGAGCAGATTTGATTGTATGTTTCAGGTAAATTAGTCAATTTGGGGTTTTTAGAAATTGAGGGTACAAACCATATTTATTTAGAATAAAGTATATTCAAATTATAATTATTCTTTGCAAAAAGTGTGGCCAAACACAATTCCAACTACAACTTCAAAAACTCCAAATAGAGTGAATAATATTTTATTTTTATGGCCAAAGCCAAAAGCTACTAAAAATAATTTCACTTTTACTTGTCCACTTTAGTGTATTAGGAGAAACATTTTTTTTTCTTGTTTTACCTTCAACATTACCTACTCATTTCCCAAGTCCATTGAGACTATACACCAATTAATATGAGTATTATGATAAATATGCACTTTATTTATTATTTCTTAAGGGGAGTACAAAGTCAATTGTGGACAACTAAAAGTGAACATAGGGAGTAGTAGTTTGGGATTGAGACATAGTATTAGTTGATGTTGTAATTGTTCTTACAATTTATGGATTCAGTTACAATGCAAGCACAAAAAGAGGCACCACCGGACATGCAATGCAAGGATAAGTTCCTGCTTCAAAGTGTCATAGTAAGCCCCGGAACTATGGCTAAGGATATAACTCCAGAAATGGTAAGATTGTTAAAGTAGTGTTCTTGTTGTTTCAAGTGTTAACTGATAGCAAAATCTGTTCTTATTGTTGTTTCTGCACTGCGAATTGTTAATTGATGAGAATTAGCAGGGTTTTATACACGTTTTTTTGTTCTTTTAGTTCAACAAAGAGTCTGGGAATCATGTTGAAGAGGTCAAGTTGAGAGTGGCTTATGTTCCACCTCAACCACCACCATCACCTGTGCGGGAGGGGTCCGAGGAAGGTTCCTCACCTAGGGCTTCAATATCTGAAAATGGAGCTGAGTTCCACAATGTGAGTTTTAGGCATCTTTCCCTCGTGTTATTGAAGATTAAAGATTTATTTTGGGGGTAAAAGTCTAGCAGAATTCATTTGGAATATGAGATATCCTGTTGTTGTGCAGGCTTCAAGGACATATGCTGAGCCACAAGACAACTCATCAGAGGTAGATTTCCTTTTCCAGAATTTACGATGTTTCTTATGGTGACTGATAAGTTCCATGGTTTCTATTATTGCCTATGTTGTCAAGAATATACGCACGCCAACAAGAACGACTAAGTTTCTTATGTCTAGGAATCAATAAATTGCTTGGCTAGCATTCATTTTGCTTATTGTTACTGTAGCACATTGTTGGATATTCAGTATATATCACTTGAGTTCCATGACTTTGCAGTTTTCAAGAATTTTCCTTATTCCATCATGGTAGAGCTACTGGTGTCTGTTTGTTTATTAACTTCCACTCATTGTAATCTACCATATTGCTTTCTGTGCATTTATGGGGAATTTCTATTGATGTTTATTCATCGTAAACCTTGTGTTGTTCTTAGAGTCTGGTTTGAGTTTTTTTTCCTCAGTGATTTGCATTTTGGCTGCCTGGGACTTTTCTGAACAAATTCTTGTGTTCCTTGGTTAGCTTGAGAAAGTATTTTCATCCTTTCTTGTTTGTTTTAACTGTGAGCACACCCTATACCCTCTCAAAGACAAAAAGGAAAAAATAACTGCTATGTTTTATAGATGTTATATAGGAAACATCCATATATAATAATTAGTTCTTGAAGGGGATTACAGATAGATTTTGGTCTGTTTTGGTCATCCAGTGTAGGCTGTTTGAAGATAAAGAGATTAGGATGACACTTATTTTTTATTGGTTGCCCTTGATGGGAATTAAGGTTCAATATGGCTAGCACTGGACAAAATCTTCCTGAATACTACTTGTTTCTTTTGTATGATTATTCTTATAAATCTACCATCATCCAGTGATGCCTGATGAATAGGTAGAGAAGCTTTTGTGTTCTCACCTGCTAAATGGAGAATATGAATAGCAAAATGCTTCATTTGTCAAATTAAAGCAAATGCTGAAATTATGAGCCAAATAACTTAAACTTTAGCTTATACAAAACGGAATCAAATTACTTGAATTTTAGAGGGGATGAGAGACAAGAATGGATAAAGTGCTATGATTACATCAAATCCAAACTTCCAAAATTGAAGTGCAAATGAAACAACGGAAGGTAGTTATCCAGTTTTTAGATGCATCTTAATAAGGATTCTGAGGGGTATTATAGCAAAAAGAATATTAAACATAGCAACCTGCAAGACTTTGTCACCATTCTTAAAAAACGTAGGGATCTGAAGACTACAATCTTTTAGGGCCTCTGTGATTTGAACATTTAGAATTTGTCTGGTTTGTGTCCATTTTTTACACCTTTCCTGTGTTGTGTTCTTATACAGTGGCCAAAATTTATCTTGAAATATTCTATGTTTTAAATTTGAATCTATAATTGAGTTTATGATTGATTGCAAGGTGTTAGCCTGGCATTGGTTGAGGGGTGGTCCATATTGTCTTTATATGGTCTAGTATGATCCTTATCTTACGAGCTAACGTTGGGGTTGGCTCAGGTCCAAGGTCTATTAGTTAAACACATCCTCAATGGAGCCTTATCCATGCTCCAAACACAGTAGTCTCCTTTTCTTTTTTCTTCTGGTGAAATTGATTGTAGTCTCTTTACATGATTTTGTACCTCACCTCGCGATAAGTAGGATAAAACCTGTCAGCCTAAAATCTCTCTCTGAAGTTTTTGAGTGGAATCATTTGGTTCAATCTTGGTAAAAGACACTGTCATTTTCTTGCATATATGGTTAGCTATATAAAACGTCTAGTTTGAAGCTCTAGTCACTTCTTAGGTTTTGTAAATTACAAGTAGCTAATGACTGCTTCTCCCCTACATTGTTTTGGCTTCAGCAAATGCATTTCTTTATTATTTTTCTTTCTTTCGTTCAATGATACTTGTTTAATACAAGGTGGAGGTTATGTAAAGTTTGTCGTTATAACCAAACCGATTTTGTACACTGTTATTCCCTTTGGAAAAATTGAAGAAGATGCAGCATAGCTATTCAAGAAAAAGAATATTGAGGATTCCTTTTGTTTTATTTGCAGACAAAAGCACTAATTTTGAAGCTGTCAGAGGAGAAAAAATCTGCAATACAGCAAAATAACAAGCTTAAGCAAGAATTGGTAAGGGCCTTAAGATATAAATTTATCTTACTGGTTTTCTTTGTCAGTGTCTTTATCAGAATTTTTGTAACTTTTCACTCATCAGCAATCTCAGACTTGAAATGTTTTTGTTTTCTTTTTATTTTTCTTTTTGTCCCCTTTCTCCTGTAAAGAGATTCAAGGGTTCTCAAGAAAAGGATTGAGCTTCATTCCATTGATGATTAGAGAGGGGCGGGCTAAAAATCATACTTTTAGAGAGAGCGGGGATCTAGCTTATTGTGAGAGTCAGGAGGGAGGGAAACTACGCTACTGGTAGGTTGGAAGGAGATGATCCTCGGGGGTTAAGAGGCACCGAACGTATAAAGATGTTCGTTTATGCAGGCAATGACAGAGGGTGGTTGGGAAAGAAAGGAATAGCAGATGTTTTTAAGATAAAGCTTAACTCAACATAATAGATCAAGTTCAATTATATACTTCCGCTTTCCTATTGGTGTAAGGAGGAATTTTGTAAATGAAGCAGAATCAGTACTTAGCCTCTTATTCCTAGAGGACTGGAAAAGGATTCTCCTTTTGCTTTTTGCTCACCCGTAAATGTGGCCTTGTAATACAATTACCTTTCTCTCAAAAAGAGGGTGGTTGGGAGAAATAAGATCTTTCTATTGACTTGGTCAGATATGTTTACTACCTAAATGGGTCTTGAGGTCTGTACACATGCATAGGATAGCCATTCTGTTTGTTGGCCAAGCCACTGTATAACCTTCCTGCATGATGAGGCGAGCCTCCTTTGTTTTATTTGTCTTCCTGATTGACTTTTGCTATCTTGGTTCTTGAATTAAATTTGTTGTTTCCTTTGTTTGATAACTGCACGCCTCTCAATTGGATAAGGCTGGATCAGCTGCTATATGAAAGCATTGCCTTTTTTCTTTTAGTGATGTGAGTAAGATCAAAAGTCTATTTTATAAGGGGAAATGACGCTACAGCTTTATAAGTTGTGCAGTGGACCTGAAAACCGGAGATAATTAGACAACCTCGTCATCAGTTAATGTTTCCTGAAATCTACCTTCAAAGGTTGATTAGAGAGTGAGATATTTTCATTATTTTGGTAATGAATCGATTAATCATGAGCTCTGTATGATTAGCTAATTGCTATTTTTGATGCTGCGCTTGTAAGGTAAGTTGTCAGGCTTCTGCATTTTGAAATCACTAGTTCTTGAACTGAAATTGTATTGGAAAAATGTTTGACATGGAACTGATTAGCAGCTTTGCGTTTGTTAGCGCTGCAAGAAATTCATTGTAGCCTTTTGAACGTTATCCTTAAACTTCACTAACCTTGTTGGGTGCAGGAGTTGTTGAGGCGAGAAAGCAGCAGACGTCGTGGCGGAATCCCATTTATGTATGTTATTATTGTTGGACTGGTGGGCCTCTTTCTTGGTTATCTTCTCAAGAAGACATGATGGCTAAGAGGTTGCTGCTACATGGTCAGTGCAGAGCCAAATGTTTAAAAAAATCTAGAACCTTGAAGAAAAAGGTGACTAATCCAGTAAAGCTTTGTATCATTAGTTGTCTGGTTGACTTAAAAATGTACAAGACAGGTTTTAATCTGTTTTTGTAATGCCTGAGCTCGAGAGTATCATCGTGTGACTAACTGCATTTGACATCCTTTGCCAACATGTGAAGGAGACATTTTAGTGTGCTAATTAAGTATACTTCCTGTTTATGGACTGCAGCTAGTTTTTGTCCCTCCACTAATAGTTATCAGAGTTATCTTATTGGCATGGATTTACTTAGACTAGTTTTACAATTACAACCTTATTTTTTGAGATTTCATCCTCACAAATCCTGCAATTTTCCTGTTTCTGGACTTAGAGCGTATATACCATGGCATAATGGCGATTAAGGGACTTTTTCTAAAGCACTATATTGCTATTGGTATGAAGTCTGCAAAATTTTCAATTATTATCGTTAAGAGGAAAAACAATATTGGAATAGAATTGATTTAAGTTGAGCAGAATGGATAGAGCGGCAAATTAGAAGGGGCATTGATATATTTACACAAATAATGCATATAGAAGAATGAGCAGAACTCTGTCAGAAAGATAACAAAACAAGAATCTCTAGTTACTTACAGATGATGGAGGACATGATCTCCTATGAAGAGAAACTTAATGTGAGGTCATCCCGTTCCAATATCCAGTGTCTCGTCTTCTTGAAGAAAGCATGCTAGCTGGACGAATTGAAAAAACAAGGATAAAAAACTAACTACTACTAATATATAAAGTATACAAATGGACTGCCCTTCTTTCTTTCCATTCTTAACAAAAAGCCATTATATCACGTTTCTTCTGAATCCAAGCTCAAAAGCCATTATTTGAACCCTGTTGCAATCGTCAATTTATCTTGTGCAAGATTCTGAGTACCTTCTATTTCACGCCGTCAACTTCTTAGCTAGTCATTTCCAATATGGCATAGTCCTCTATTTCTTAAGAAGATTTAACTACTTTTTGGATGCATCATCAACCAGCATCTTCAGAACCTTGTATCATATTACATCTGACCACAATCTTGTGAAAATCATCCAGGCTCAACTGCAATATGCCGTATCAAAAGGTATGAAGGTCTAAGAGAAAACATGAACCCAACTTAAAAAAGCATACAGCTTTTAAAACAGACATTTGAGGGCAGATAGTCGTGGATCTTACCAAGTAAAAATGATATTGTCATCATTTTTGTGATTTTGGTAGACAGCACTTACGAAATAACACTATAACTACACCAAAAGAACCCAAATAAAAATAGCCACAAACAACTGTTCAAGTTTCTTTAGTCAGTTTTTGGCTTTTTGCCACTGAAGTTCATGGATGTTTTTTTTATCAGAGCACCAAACAGGATAGCCACTTTTTTTCCTTTTCAGTTGCAGATGATTAATAGCCTACCTCCACAAAACTAAATACTACCATTTAATCTATTAAGTCCCCAAACACTTCACAGTAACCTCCATGGTTTGGTGTCCAAGGAACAAAACCATCACAACAACTACACACCCAGTGTAATCCCACCAGTGGGTTCTGGGGAAGGTAGGAAGTACAAAGACCTTACCTCTACCTTTAGGGTGTAGAGGCTATTTCAGATAGACCATCTCAAAAGAAAAGTAACTGATGCAGGAAAATAAGAAAGAAAAAGAGACAACGAAATAGCAGTGTGTAAAATAAGTGTAGCAACAAGGAACAAAAACCATGGGAGTTACATATTGTACTTCCCTTGAATAAAAGAAGGTATTAGCACTGTGTGCCCAGAGGTAAATGAAGTGTGTTGAGAACCATAAGGCTCAAATTCAAATACAGTGAAGGCAAACAAAACTAGGTGATTTCCTCTATTTGTCCAAGCCTAGGTGTACACAGTTTCTCGGAATCTGTGTTGGTGGAGGGTAGTAGGTACCCGAGGAATTAGTTGCAAGTTGAACCGGACACCACAGTTATAAAAAAAGATAAAAAAGGAGAGAAGTTAGAAAGTTAAAACATTCTTTTTTTTAAGAAGGATAGACATAAAAATTTGAATCTTATCGAACACTTAGGGTCTTATCAAATACTTTTTTAAACCAAAAAACAAAAGATTTAAAGGAGAGAAGTACCTTTCCGTCTCCATTAGAATCAAAACAACGAATCATATTTGCCAAGTCCTCATCTGACCATGTAAAATCATGGGAAACTACCATTTTCTGTAGATCTCTGAAACTTATACTCCCTTTTCCAGCTTCTGTGAGAGAGTACCAACTAATTAATGGGCGTATACAATCAATCTAGAACAGCTATCAAAAAATTGATGGTAGAAGTGCATGACACATCAGATAATGATTTTCAATTGTGGACAAAAAAACTGTATAGCTTATCTCTTTCACATGTACAAGATAAAACCTAATAAGCAGACTCAGCATTACCATCGAACTGAAAGAAATGCATAATCAAGTCATCCTCAGTCATCTGCACTCGATTTCTTGCCTGCTGAAAACATTTGTAAAGTGCCCAAGTATGAGGAAGGAGTATGAGAAAGTTCAGAATTTTCACTGCTTTTAGTAAAGTAAATGATAAAATATACCTGTTGTTTTCTCTTCCTTTTCCCAGTAACATCTTCCTGATTGCAGGTACCTACATCTTTTTCATTACTGGCCATTTTCAAAGAAGCTTTTTCATTGCTGACCTTTTTCAAGACAGCTTTTTCGTTGCTGTCCTTTTTAGTGGAATCTGCATCAGTGCCTTGCATAGGCACTTTATTTGCAAGATTCAGAAAACCTGCTGAATCTTGTAGTGACAAAGCAATAGCCTGCATATAGATAAATAAATACTTTACTGTTGGATGGCTGAAGGAAAGCTGCAGGCTTATTGGCAAGGAAATGTTTTATTCAGCCTCCCACATAAGGGTGATGCAGATGTATCTCTCTGTTTTTATATATGTATAATATGCATATTAATGAGACTGAATAATAATATATGTCACCTGCATTAAGGCGACATCATCGTCGACAAAATCCATGTCAGTTGGTACCGTTGTGTTAGACACTCTCTTCTGAGTTGTTTGAATTTTTTTCTTTGACTGCAACAAGAGATCCAAGAAAGTTAACAAAATACCAAACTATAATATTTTGTCTATCCAACTTCAGAAGCAAATATAACAGGTTAAATGCAGGGCAAGCGCATTAGAATAGCAGCCTTTCCCAACAGACAGCTCCACAACTCAGAAATCAGATTTACTTGGACTCATTTTTCAATAGTAATAAGTTTCATTAAAAGAAGGGCAAAAACAAACCTGCATACAAGAAGTATACCAAAAAGTATAAAACCTTACAAAATGACATGGTTTTCTATGAACGACACCAAATATTCTATACAAATAAGAACCTCGTGGGTGAAGCAAAAGGATCAGATGTACTTTTTTTTTAATTTATGACAAGGGAAACCCGCAGCCGCTCTCCTTTGGGTGCGCACAGGGTAAAACTCCCGCTCCTATGCAATAGCTCGCAAACCACATAGGAGAGGTAACCCGCACTAGGCAAGCCCGGTGCGACGAGCTCGACCCAGAAGGCAAACCCCTTGCTTTCGCTGGCAAGGGGTTTCGAACTTGAGACCTCCAACATGGAAGTCCCAATCCCAAACCACTGGGACACCCCGAAGGGTAGGATCAGATGTACTTAGATTCATTAATATTAGATAGTTGTATTATTCATATCATTCATGTATTGTTTACCCCAGCTAACAACATTCAGGAACATCAGTTTCCTAAATGTCAACACACGATAACATAAGGATGCAGCCTGTTTTCATGAAATGTTTCAGAGCCCAAGATGCATATAATAGGCTCTATTGATAGTAGTTGTTGACATCATTGGCATAAAATTCACTCATTAAACAATAATCACAAACATAACTGTTCTAAGAGGTTAGATTGTTAGTTAAGATTTTCTACTAGACAGTATAAAAGGAAATGTATGACATTGTTGTGTTCCCTTACTTTTCTTATATACTAATCATAAGCACAAAAACAAAATCACAATACATTCTCCTCCCTGTATCATTCAGCAGTTTTTTTCTCTGGAAGAGGGTTTAACATAAAAGGTTAAATTGAACTTCGATTATGAGTGCTCTATATGTCAAATCTTCAATATCAAAAAGTATTTCATCACACACTTCCACTTTGTTGTTTTGGGGAAGGAATTGTTACCGATGAAGAAGAAAACTTTATGATCCTTTTCTGTATACATGATTAACTTAGCATATCACCTAGCAGAATAAATGGCGTCCTCTCATAAAGAATGATTCGTTCCAAAACACGAACAACAAACTATAGAGTTTCCCGTGCTACTACAGACACCTAACAATATGTAAATCTATATCAAGCCAAAGCATTCAATATTCTTATCAAAATACAAGCAGTGCACTGCACCCAAAATGACACAAAGAAGTAATAGCTAAGTAAAACATAAAGCATTACAATTCCTTGCTGTATAATGTGCTTTTCCATCTGAAAAAATTGTACCTTTTGAAAAAATTTAACTGTTCAGATGCAAATAACATATTATCTTAGTGCAGGTTTTAGTTGATCAATAATTTTTTTGCTTAAAAGAAAAAAGGTTGTACCTTTTTCAATTGGGACTTTGAAACTTCAAAATCCCCATCATCATCTTCGTCCTCACTTTGAGCTGGCTCGTAATCTTCATCTTCATCAACCACCTTCTTTTTCCCCTTTCTGTCCTTGCCTTTCTTCTCGGGTTTTGGGGAAGCACCCATCAAAGAAGTTGCCATTTTGTGCAGACCCATAGCCTTCATTCTTGCTCTGTTTTCTTCGATTCTCTTCATTCTTTGTTTCTCATAATCGGTGAGTTTTCCTGTTCTTTGGGGTTCCGCCGGGGACTCCTCTGAGTCTGAGTTTGTCTCTTCAGTTTCTGAGTCCGAGACATTCGAGTTTGCCATTTTCTTGACAGTTTAATTTGGGGTTTTCGATTGGATTTGAAGGGTTGCTGCCTCGTAAACGCGGGAACTGCACAAGGGTTGTAACAGTGGCAAATCCGCGAATAGAAAACACAACCGAAAAAAGAAAATCAAATAGCTAAAATGGTCCCTTATGTTTAAAGTAGTTCATTAAGTATGCTTTTGTGTATTTTAGGCTGCTTTTAAGTTGTTTTTTCTTATGTTTGGTTGACCAAAATTTTTAAAAATCCCTTCGATTTCAGTACTTTAAAAGGCTTGAAGGATTTAAGAGCGTCACTTTAATATTATTG